CGGCGCTTTTCCTCCTGCATGTGTCATTATGCTTTGAAATGAGATTTTATTGATAATCATGCGATTTTGGATCCTTTTATATTCTAATCTTTCCATTTAAGTTTAATCGAGATTTGTAATATGTCAATCACAATGGACACAATGGACACAATGGACAATGCAATGGACACAATGGAAAACTGTCCATTGTTGATTGTTATATCAATAGATATGTCCATTGCCAACACTGGTATTAAGTGCATATATTATTAGAGTTTTATAAATTAAGAGCAAATCATTGCGAATAAGGACCAATAAGGATCGTCCAGAAGGCATTACAGGAATTAACTAAGGTGTTGATCATTTCAGTGAAATTTTTTAGGCGTAAATTTTGTGTATCAGTGATTTTTTTTAAAGAAACAATAGTTTGGTATTGTTTATTAATAACTGTAGTTGAAGTATCTATTATGAGGTCTTTATTGTGTTGGTTTAAAACATAGTCTTTCATAGTTTCATCATCAGGATAACTGACTTTGATATTAGTGTTTTGTTCAATAGTATCCATTCTTTTCATAATGGAGTCAAAGGTAACTATGAGGTCGTCTAGTTTTTGGGTTAACTGCAAGAAGCTCACTTTGATGAATCTTTGAAATCAGCATCAACATCTTTTTTATGCATAGAGCCACCCATTTTTGTGCCAGCAGAAATGTCACATGAAGTATACTGGATTTTTTAATCTTGGTAATTATGACATTTTATATTAGGAGAAATATCATCACTCTAGGATATTGGTTTGTTAGGCAGTTTATTAATGTTATTTGTTTCTTTATTAGCATTATTTAGAGTCATATATAATTTAACTAAGGGTTTAAGTTTCTTCTTGACTTCTTCTATAACAATGTTTGTGAAAGTGATGTTAAGACTAGTTGCATCCTAACAGGAATGGGATGGAGCCTTGTAGTTGTTATATTGTGTTAGTTGAAATCTCTGATATAAATTTTGTATATTTCTGTCTTGAGGTGTTCTATGTTTCTTTAGACAATCTTTGATTTTATGATAGGATGACAAACAGATAACACATAATCAAATCTTAGTTTCAGACTATTCCATTGATAGTAAGATTATTACTACTAATAGCTATTTCATAATCATCAGCTAAAGGAAAATAGAAAAAATTATGTTACAAATTGTGATAATTTGATCTATCTTTAGGAATATTTCAGGATATCGCATTGATCATTAATCTCAGATTAGATAAATCTTTACCCATAATGAAATAAAAGAGACATGTGAGTTTAGCTAAGAACTTTAAATGTTTTAAAATTTTATCTTTTGATAAATCGTATATGTGGAAGTGAACCATATTATTAGAGAGAAAAATCCCATATCTTTTTTTAAGTTCAATGAAGTTAGCATCGATGTCATAAGTAATTATTACTTATTCTTACAAAGTTTTGTTTTCATACGGAATTTAACGATCTTTTCAAATTGGAAGAATATTTTTTAATTCTGATTTTAGTAGCATTTAATGGAATATTGGTATCTTTAATCAATTGTTGTGAAACAAATGGATATTTAAGAATGATATTTAAAGGTAAAAATATGCGTTTATCTAAATTAGACAAGTTGACTTTGCAAAATGTGTCTCTTTCTTCTTTATCGATAAATATTACCTTTAATATTTTTTGATTGGTCTTCTGGATGTTTGACAAATACAACACCTGAAAATGAGTTGAACAGATCGAAAATAAGGTCAGTAATATCAGAAATTTCATTTTTTTAGTGAAAATTTCTTAAGGACTCTTCTTGTTATTCAAAAAATTTTCTGAGGTATCGTTAGCATTATTGATATTTATTACAGTTTGATCAGAAGTAATAATTAAAATTATTTCACTTGTTAAAGTTTCTTCTTCCTTTTCTTTATCAAGTAGAAAGAATCGACTTCTATAATAATTGGAGTTTCATTATTATTTTTTGAAGTGAAGACATTACTTTCAGGTTCAGTAATTTGTAAAGTATTTTGTCTTTTGCTTAGTTGTTACTTTAGAGTGCCAGAGTGGGAGCAAGGTTGTTGTTTTTGTTAGTTTTTATTTGTCTCTTTCTTTAGTTTGCTCATATTGCGGAAAGA